AAAAAAAAAAAAAAAAAAATTTCAACAAAATCTTAGCCAACAGAATCCAACAACATGTCAAATAATAATAATTCATTATGACCAAGTGCGATTCAGACCAGATACGCAAGGATGGAAAAACAATCAATGTAATCCAACACACAAGGAAAACAAAACAAAAGAACCATATAACCATATAAATTAACACACACACACACACACACACACACACATGTATTTGATAAAATCCAACACCAATTCCTGTTCAAAACTCTCAACAGAATAAGGATAGAAGGGAAAAAAGAGGCATACACACAAAACCAACAGCCAATATTACTGCTAACAAAGAAATACTCAAAGCATTCCTCTTGCAAACAGGAACCAGACAAGGATGCCCTCTATCCCCACTTCTATTATTGTATTGGATGTCCTAGCCAGGGCAATAAGGCAAGAAATAGAAATAAAAGGCATTCAAATTGGCAAAGAAAAAGTAAATCTATCTCTATTTGCAGATGACATGATCCTATACATAGAATATCCAATAGACTCAGCAAAAAAATTACAGGAACTAATAGAAACGTTCAGCAAAGTGGCAGAACACAAGGGCAACATAAAAAACAGTTGGAGATAAATAGCAGAGTAAGATGGCAGAATAGGCAAAAACACTGCACAGACTCTCTTCAACATAGAGAAGGGGAACCAATTAACACAGATACAGAAGATAATCTTGGACCCCTGAGCTTTGAAGGGATGAATATAGAAGTGGACTAAACTCCAACTAGTAGAAGAATTTGCATGAAAACACTAAAAAAGGAGATATATAGAGCTGCAGTCTGGCATCAATCCTGATGGCACAGACAGCTTGGATATTGCCGAGTGGTGTTAGGACCTAAGTATTAACCTAAAAATCAGCCCTGCTAGCCAGGGACTGCACTGCTGGCTGGGGAATAAAAGAGGAAGCAGGGAACAGGAAAAAGGGCTGAGCTGTGGACTTTTGTCTGTCTGGAGGGTGCAGCCATTTTGAATGCTTACAAGTGGCTTGACAGTTTTAGATATTTAAAGCAACAGCATTCTCCCAGATTCCAGGGAATTAAGAACAAGCTCCACTTACTGGGAACCACAAGGACATTCTAGACACCAACGACTGGAAAGGTACGATATTCCCCTTGTTACTCTTAGACCCCACAACCTCTTGGTGAACAGAGGTGTAGCCACCCCTCACTACCACCCACCTTCTAGGCTGGCAGGAATTCCATCCCAGTCTGTGTGCTCAGATGGAGCCTGGGTGCCCTGCCCCGAATTTTTTGTTTCTTTTTTCTCCTTTTTTTTTTTTTTTTTCGTTTCTTTGATTTTGTCTGTTTTAAAACTTCTGTTATTATTACTACTTTTGTCCCTTTTATTATTATTCTTTATTCTTCCCTTCTCAGGTTCTTGTTTTCAGTGTTTTATCTTTTCCCTGTTCCTGGATCCAATTATTTTTATGTCTCATGTTTAACCCTGTGCCTTGTTTTTCTTTTTGCATTATTTCTATTATTTTCTTCATTAATCTCCTACTCTACCTTTTTTCTCTTATTGCCCTCTCCCCAGATATTGCAGGGTAACCCCCCGTTTTTTGTTATTGTTCTTGTGTGATTACATGATGTATTGTTTGTCCATTTGCTTTTACTTTTTGATGGTTATTCAATTGTTAATTTTTGTCTAACTGAGTGGGAGACAGCAACAGTCCCCATACACACAACTACACCCACACCTCTGGGGCTATGGCATAACTGACAAAGGACTTATTTCCAAAATTTATAGAACACTTCTACACCTCAACACTAAAAAGACAAATAACTCAATTCAAAAATGAACAAGGGACATGAACAGAACACTACACTAAAAAAGATGTACTGGTGGCCAAAAAACACATGAGGATGCTCATGATCATTAGCCATTCTCACTGCTATCGACTGGATTCTGATTCACAGCGACCCCTCCTTGGGTTTCCGAGGAGGTGTATGAATGGAAGTAGACTGCCCAGTCTTCCTTCTGAGGAGTGGCTTGTGGTAGGTTTGAACCACCAGCCTTCTGATTAGCAGTCAAATGCCTTAGGCACTAGCCTTTAGACAGATGCAAATCAAAACAACAATGAGATATCATCTCACCCCAGCAATAATAGCAAAGGTCAACAAGACAGAAGAAAATAACAAATGCTGGTGAGGTTGCAAGGACTGGAATTCTCATACACTGCTAGTGGGATTGCAAAATGGTACAACCATTGTGGAAGATGGTATGGTGTTTCCTTAAAAAATTGAAAATAGAAATATCATTTGACTCAGCAATTCCATTCCTAGGAATATAACCTAAAAAGGTGAGAGATGGGATACAAACAGACACATGCACACTCATATTCATTGCAGCACAATTCACTATAGCAAAGAGATGGAAACAACATAAATGCCCATCAATAGATGAATGGATAACCAAACTATGGTATATTCACACAATGGAATATTATGCTTCATTAAGGAATAATGAAGAATACACAAATCATCTCACAAGGTGGATGAATTTCGAGGACCTCATGGTGAGTGAAGGAGCTCGGGTAGCATAGTGCTTAAGGCACTTGACTGCTAACCAGAAAGCTGGTTGTTCAAACCCACCAGCCACTCCTCAAAAGGAAGGTTAGGCAATCTAACTGTAGTGATACTGCCTTGGAAACCCAAAGAGGGGTCGCTATGAGTTGGGTTCAACTCGATGGCACATAACAAAAACAACATGGTGAGTGAAATAAGTCAATCACAGAAGGACAAATATTGTATGAGCCCATTATTTTAAAAAGTGAAGGAAACTTTTATTTAGGGAAAGATATTTACTTTTTTGGTTACCAGGGATGGGAGGGTAGGGGAGGGAAATTTTCGGACTAGTTGAGGGTCCCATGTTGATTTGGTGAGGGGAGGAATGTTATGGAAAGAGTCTATGACCAGCATGATGACACTGGAGAAAGGAAGGACACTGAAACATGCACATAAGATACAGACAACAGAAGCAAATACTATTATTACACACACAATACTGCATTACCACTAACACCAAACACCAGGCTATAGATAAATGTATAGACAGGTGAGAAGATCAGGTGGGGGAAGGTGAACAGGATATACCCTAGACCAAGGATATGTTTAGCTGAAGATAATCTTACTCTTACATATGCACTTGTGCTGCAAAAACAGCCACATACATTACTGAAGCCACAGAAGATAGAGTTGGAGTAACTTCTCAGAAACAATCAAACACATTTATAGAGAGAACCACTAGGCCTGTGGACTCAGTACTCAGTACTCAGTAGTCTTGGGGGATGTCATGCTCAATCAGCACACCATAGTACATAAAAATTTTGTTCTGCAACCTACTTTGGTGAGTAGCAACTGTGGTATTAAAAGATTTTGAGTAGCCATCTAAGATGCAACTATTAGTCTCCTCTCATCTAAAGAAATCCGAGGAAGGTTGGGCAATCCTACTTCCATAGTGATACTGCCTCGGAAACCCAAGGAGGGGTCGCTATGTGGTGGGGCCGACTCGACGGCATATAACAACAACAACAACAACAACATCTAAAGAAAAGAAGAGTAAAGAATTAAATGGTCTCTGGAAACAATTAGCCAATCCAAGGATAAGATGGACCATGAGGACCTCAGCCTTCATGACCCTGAGATGAGAAGAACTAGATGGTGCCTAGCTACCAATGCCTTCTCAGAAAGCGATCAAAACTGGACATCCTGGATAAAGTGGAAGGAAAAATGTGGAACAAAATTCAAAAACACAAAAATGACCAGAACTAATGGTCAGATAGAGACTGGTGGAACCCTGAGACTATGGCCCCAGGTGTACCCTTCAGAGCTAGAAATGGTCTCTCTTCCATGGATTGGCTCTCAGCCCAATAGTAAAAAGACATGCATGTAGAACACCTACCACAGGATTATGTACCCACCTACTCCAAGGAGATGTACCCCCTAGATCAATCAGCCATGAGGCACCTGAGGGGCAGCATTCATAGTGGGAAAGCTGGACAGACAGGAATGCATAGTTAAGAAGGGAACAGAGAGAGGATAGTCAAATGGAGGAGAGGGGTGGAAAGTTTTTAATGGTTGAGGATGGTTAATCAGGGCTATGAAATCAAATGTGCGTGAACTGTTGAATGTAAAACACATTTGCTTTGTAAATTTATACCCAAAGCACAATAAAAAGAAGAAAAGAAAAATAATTTTAATACAAACATTAAGCAGAATAAAATGAGTGTTCTATTAGAGTACCTGAATTATGAAATGTACTCTATGGATATTAGTTGACCACATGCATGACTGAATGAATGAAAAAAAAAAAAAGAAGTATAAAAGTACAACTAATAGAAGTATTATCTACATTTGTACTTTGAAAATTCAAAGTTAAAATTAGATACTTATTCCTCCAGAAAACTGTCAAGATTTTCTTTTTAATAACTCAATACTGAGGTCAAAGACACATAGCAGA